AATCTTGCCACCGCAGGGGGCTGGCATGGGTTACTTTCTAATCTTCGGGCACCTCAGGGGGCTACCCTTGCAGGTACGTGGCTGAAGCGTCTTTCAACCATATCCTGATGCATGATTGGAGCTTCGTTGCACCAGGCGAAATCATGCATCCCTGGTGCCCCTGCCACATGATTTTCTGTTTAACTTGAATCAGCATGAAATGTAGGATCAAAATCAGTTTTAAACTCTTTGGTACAGAGGGTGACACACACACACCCACACACCCACACACCCACACACAAACACACCCACGTGCGCACACACACAAAAGCACACACACATGCACACGGGTATACATACATGTATATAAATATTCATATATCGTGTATATATATATAGGTCTTCATCTACATATACACCGGCCGTAGCTGATACCGACTTCGTTCTCGCGCAATGTGCTCGTGGTTTCATCGTGCAATGCGATCTCAAGAGTTTGCTGTCTTTTTTATACATGTCTTCTTATATCGCCGGGCGACGCTATTTGAATAGTATTACACTTAAGCTTGGGTTAAACTACACATGTGGGGTTCTCCGGTCCTTTAATTATGACGACTATGTGACTGTGAGCCCAGCAGATCGTGCCACAGCGTTAGAAGAAGCCTTTGCCATGCTGCTAGATCTGTTGGGTTGGAGGTACGATAAGGACGTCTCCAAATCTGACTCCATGTCCGAACAGGTCTCCTCTGTGGGAGTTTAGTCCAACTTGCGAGAATCAACAAAGGCGTTGTCACTGTGTCCAACACTCAGAAACGTAGGTCTGAGATTTTAGAGAACATTGAAACAGTTTTGAACGAAGGGAAATTGAGCAAGTCTGGCACTGCCAAACAGCTCGTGTGTGAATTTCCCGGTGCAAAATGAGAGTGCCCTGAGTTGATTGAATTATAATATTGTGAATTATTTGCTTGGTTACTATTTGAATGATTGAGAAAAATTTGTATACGCTGCTGTGGATATTGGATGCGGCTTGGTGAGACTTACTTTTGAATGACTGGCGATAAATACTTTGGATTGTGTTTGAGTGATTTGAAATAAAGACATTCTTCACGTTTCAATCAGATGTGGGACAGGAACCCCAAACACAGAGAGCATTTACCCCATTTTTTTTTAAAATGTTAGTGCGTTGCCTGTGCAGCACGTGGGGCAGGAATTCCAGACACACGAAGTCACGAAGTGTTTAACCGGACCCTGTTTGACATCAAAAGGCCTTGCGTGTTCTGCGTCGTAATTTGTGGATGTGAAACTGCAGCGATTGTACGTCCGATGCTTCAACAGAAAACCATGAAAACGTAAGCCTCATAAGCTTTCGCAGCACTGCTAGGAACCCCCACATGTTAAACAACAGGTTTGATCACAGAGCTTTTTGCGCTCCGCATGAATCTTTGCGAGGCTGCCGACTCGCTTTTTCATGTGTGACATGCTAGCATCGAAATATGCACAAAGACTGAACGGTGTGTTGAAGCCTTGCGCCTCTGGAATTGTTGAAGCATTTGACTGATGTTGCTGATGCTGAAGCGTTTGAGTAGCCGGCGTTCTCAGCCTTGGCTCAGAAGAGGCAGCCCATAAAAGCGGTCATGCGGACCAGATGTAGTCACATGCAGTCGCATGTTTCAAGTTTAAAGGTCTCAAGTCATAGGGTCCCAGGCAGCATCCAAGTACCGGAATCTTCATGCTTTTACATTGATCGTAGATTTGTTGTGCCCCATCTGCAAAGATGTTTGTTAACAAGCAGGCTGGACGCCCAAGTGTTTGCAACATTCTTGAGTGCGTGTCAGCGCTTACAGGAGCCGAGCTTTGCGCACAGATGTGAGAAGGTGTTTCGTGCAGTTGTAGATTCGTAGAAGGAGGGAAGATACAGTTTCCTGATTTCCTCCAGGCGTGCGCTGGTCGAGGACACAATTGATGCATAAATTGTGTGGGCTGTGCCAGCACGTTTCCCTGCTTCAGCTCCAGGATCAGAGGGCAGCTTTCAGCCTGCCGTGGCCCAGGCTGTTGAGGCGCCTTTGGCATCCGAGATTTTTCCTGATCTACCGGCAGCGCCTGCAAGAAGAGTCGGGACATCACACCTGCACCCCTAACCACTCGCGATCAATCTCCCCTTTCGAAAACGTTTTGACGCGGAGGATCTACAGAGTGTTGGACAGGGATTTGAGGGTTTTCAGGTTCTTTGGATGTGTTTTTTTCCATGCTGTTTGTGTGTGTATGGGCCTCGGGGTTGCCCCAAGCTCTAAGAGGGGTTGTCAAGTCGTGGCGAATACTGGCCGTGGAGCTTCAGGAGACCGGCCAGTCACTGTTGGGCGTTTAGACTTTATCTGTGCAACCAGATGGAATACGCCGCGCTGATGGGGTCAAAACAGATGGACGCCGGCATATTGGGCAAGATTCGCGAAACCTGCTTGTGTTCCTGCCAAACTTGGTGTATTCAAAAATTGAACTTTCAAGAGTTGTGCAGAAGCTTTCGTATCGACATAGTGCAAGTCAAATGACTCAGGAGTTTGTTGGCTAACGCAAATACTTATGCACTCTCGCAGTGGCTTCTTGGGCATAGATTTTGCACAGATGTGAAAACTTTCATGGTTTGGTTGCCTGCAGAAGATTACTATCTGTCATATGTAGACGTGTCAACTGACTCAATTACATCGTGCAGCAAGGTGCTGTGGCCGTTGGGTGCTCGATGTAGAATCATTAAACGCTTCAGGGAACAGTGTCATTTAATAGCATGGAATATATTGGGAAATCTATCATGATGGAAATCTGCTTTAGCATGCTTTGACAGCAGATTGTCGGGGGTGTTGCGAAAGTCGCCAGTGTGTTGTAGCGTGCTTGTACTTTTTTGGAACGGGATAGCTTTTTCCCTACCTTCACAGTGAGGTTGTTAGACTTCAAGGAGTCTATGTTTTCCTCGCACTCCATGCAGTGCCTAACCACAGAGTATCCCTGCAGAGTCCAACCGCATGCAGAGTATCTTTGCACTGGCCAACCGCAGAATATCCTTGCAGTGCCCAACGCCAAGTATCTCTGCAGAGCCCAGCCGCAGGGTATCCTGCAGCGCCCAACCAAAGCATCCCTGTAGTCTTTAATCCCACACTATCCTGGTAGTGTCCAGCCCACAGTATCCCTGCAACGTTTGTAAGGGGTCCTTTACAGCCATTGTAACCTTTTTAAGAAACCTTATGCAGGCTTTGTAACCCCTTTGAAGTACCCTAGATTGCCATGTAGGCCTTGCCCCCCTTTAAAAGGCCCTATGTAGCCCATTTAAAGGGACCCTATGTGGGCTTCATAGCACCTCTAAAGGACCCTATATAGCTCTTCTAACACTTTTAAAGGGGACCCTGTGTCGGCATAAAACCCCCCAAAAAGGTCACTATATAACCCTTATGTAGGCCTTATCAGCCCCTTAAAAGGTCCTTGTATAACCTGTGTAACCGCCGCAGCATAGGCCCGATGACCTTGGTAAGCGACCCTATATAGCTCTGATAATCCCTTTTTGCATGGACCCTATGTAGGCCTCACAACCTATCTAAGAGACTCCATGTAGGTTTTAGACAAGAACTTAAACTTCTACGTCCCCCGAGACATTGGCTGAGTGAGATTAACCAGAATCAATCGGTCAACAACCCCAAGGCCACACTTTAGGGTGGGGATGCTCGAAGTAAATTTGTCTTTGCGTGTGGGTGATGTGTCTGACATGATGCAAAACAATGTTTTGCACCATTCATATGTGCTGCGACCTGCGTAAGCGCTGTCACTCTTGTGGCATCCTTCTCTGAAATACCGTGACCAATGCATACTGGGATTCTGCCATGGTCACGGTCCGAGCAACTGTCATGACTTTTCACAGCTTGTTTTCTAAAATGGGCAGTTTGTCCATTTAGCGCAGCGTCGGCGGGATGAGCGGTCATCACTGGATATCACTGTAGAATGGACGCCTGAAGACACAAATTCAACCGTCTGAACGGAAAAACCTTCTGGAGTGAAGTCGTGCAACTGTAGTATTGGATTCTTCTTTGAGTCTTCAGATGCTTCCGCTGAATTCTACCAATGCTGTTTCCGACCAGGTGGTCTGGCACGTCATCGTTCTTTGTGGCTCTTGTGCTATGTGCCGTTCACTCACAGGAGCTGCTTGCTGAAGCTGATCGTGCTATATGCAGAGCTATCGCCAGTTGCATTGATGATGTTACACGTGTGCCCGATAATCAGATGACATGCTCCGTGTGGCATGTGGCTCAAATAAGTTTCACTTGTGTTTTTGCTCAATTCCATGTTCATGTCACCTGCAGACCAGTGTAACGTAGATGCTGTTGGTGCTCATCCTGGCGCCGCCGGCGTTGGCAGTTCGGACTCAGGCATCTCGATGTTCGTGCTGAATTCAGTGTAGGCTTTGCGCTGAGACAGAAGTGGATATGCTTCAGGTGAGCAGCATTGGATCTGGTCTATAGACGGGATACTCGTTGCAGTGACGATGCTCCAGCAGCCTTTTCAGTTGGCGTACTTGTTGCTCCTGTTCCGAGATTAATTTTCACCTGGTTTTGTTGGAGCTCGCTGTGCGTTTTGTTCAAGCTCCAGTGTGCGCGCATCCTTGTTGAGTGACTTTCCTTCGTGGTCAGCTTGTCAATACTAATTCAGCATCTGTTATTTTTGCGATTGTGAGCGCAATGAATATTGGGCATTGTGGTTACACCGATACACCGATGCACCGGCTCTCGGTCGATCTGACAACACAGCAGCGGGTGTCTTCACACAAAGGGAATGTTGCAAGTGCAAGATGAGCCTGGTTTTGCAAGATCTCTGAAGATTTGATGTTGCATGATGGGCTTTGCCACAGCACAGCCGTCGCTTGTTGGATCTGCCTATTGAAGGATCGAGAAAAATCGCGTCAGCTTGCTGGGCAAGACAACGTGCGTGGTAGACTTCTGTTCTGCTCACTCCTGCTCCGTGTACCAAGGCGGACAGTTTGGAAGAAGTATTTGTTCTGTGTGTTGAGTTGATGGTACATGTCACCCGAAGGCATGTGCGAGCAAGCTGACAAAGGCTTCTGTGGCAAGCGCTACACGAGCTGTCCAGCCGACCACAGCTACTATGTAAACGGTGGCGACTGACGGATGTTCATAATAAAGGGGTTCTGCTTAGGGCCTAGCATGCTCAGCGCTCAACAGCTCTTGAGCTGGCTGTACACATCGCATCTTCATGCATTTGCAGATGGGTCCTTTTGCTTTGCTGTGATTGAAAATGAAGTTCTCCACTTCTTTATGCGCAGCCGAAATTGCAACCGTTTGGACTTCCTTTGTAGATGTTTGTCACCAGGTACACATGTGCTGGCTGCTGGTATTGGCTCTCTGCCCGCCTCAGAGCCTTGAATTGTGCATCAAGACCTTTTGTTTTGTCTTTGTGGATATGGGCACTAGACTCCCTCCCTGGATGTCATCCAGAAATGACCACACCAACTTGGCCAGTGATGCAGCAACCGCAAGAGAGAAGTCTGCAAACCATGACAGGCAGATGTGGACAGCCTTGTTACAAGTTATGGGGTGCAACTTAATCCTGAGACTTGTTGTATGAATATGTTCTACTAGCGGCTGCAGAATTTCATTCTATGCTCTTATGCAAAAGCGGGAGAGAGTGTGCAGGAACCAGGCGCCGCCCATTATGTTCTATGAAGACGTGGTAGCGTCTGCTACCGAACAAGACATGGATCAATCCGAAAGCTTTTCAGCTTTCAGCAGCGGAGTTCCGCTCATTCGCTAGAACTTTCTTGGGCTCTCCATTAGTTTTTCCCGAACACAGAATGAGTTGCATTTTGTTAACGCATGAAGAAAGCAGCTCCGCAGTTTTGCGAATTTCAATCCGTTTTCAGCAGGAGAAGGCAGCGTCCACCTGATTCTTCCAGAGCAGGAAGGGAAATGTATCATGTTTCTCAGGCAAGGCCTGACTCATTAGTAGTGAGGCCCTAAATTTTGCTAAGTAACACAAGCTCTTTTTAACCTTGTGAACGTTAGCAAGAAGGAATGTCAAGCTCCATTTTTTTTAACCAGAAGGCCCATTATGCTTTGAGAAAGAATGCCCTTTCAACCCAATAAAGCAAAACACAACCCTTCGACCTCAACCAGAAACAAGGAGTCGTTCTTGACGTGTTCATTTTCATCACCAAAAAGAGCATGGGATCCGGAACGTATTGCCTTGTTTGAACGATGCTTTCCTGGTTGGTCATAAGGCGTGAAAGGGATCCCTGTATTGTTATTATCAATGAATCAATCAGCAGATGTCTTGCTACTCATTTTAAGGGTTTGACAGCAATCTGCTCATTGTTCTTAGGAGGCTGCATTTCAAAGGTGTTTGAAGTCGTGTGAATTGAAGTTGCAAGGGGCTCATCTTGTCTTTAAGCTGGACAGGGTTCCCATTGTTTCGGAGAGTTGCACTTCTTCACTATCTAAACGCAAGGAGCCAGCTTTTGTTTATCGGCAGTTTCAGTCCAGACCAGACTTCATAAGCGTACAAGCAAGACACCAGCTTCGTGTTTTGCAGCAGGAAGTGGCTCGCTACCTATGTCTTTGAACAAGCACGAAGCGTTCTGAGTTTCATATTCTGAATGACAATATCATGAAGAAGTCCTGTATGATACTTTCAGTAGGAGGCAAGGGAACCTGCAGGTCTTGCTGTAAAGCCCTTAGCAAAGCATGGGCGACATGCATCCATTTTTTAAGAGAAAATTCCTCCATCATTGCTGCCAAAGGATCCTATAAGAAATCTCAGAAACCAGCCAAATATTTGAAAGAAACACGTATTCGAATGAAGCGTGCCGCGTAGCTAAGCTTAATTAGCATAGTATTTTTTTCAGTCACATTTTTCTGTTTAACATTATTGAATATTCTTCATTTAATGTGTTGTTGTCGTGTTTGTGTATTAGGCTCAACTCAGTCAATGAGCAGTTCTAGGTCTTCATATTCTGAATCTACAACAACAAGGAAGACATGAACAGCGGGTTGTGGGAACGACCAGACCAAAGACACTAGACTTACCTAACCGCAAAAGGAATCAAACACAGGAACTCCTGGCTTGACTCCACTGCACATGCAAAGAGCATTTCTGGAATGTGTGTCCAATGTATTTCTTGCACATTTGTTGGTGCCAGTGCTTCTGAGAATCCTCTTCCCTTCGGACCCCTGTGGTCAACGCAAACATGCAAGCGGGGAGGTTGTGTATGTGACAGTGCAGACATGCAGGGAATTTTCAGGGAAAGAGTGCCACCTCGGAGCCAACAAGCGGTTAAAAGAGCAAATTACCTGCAGTTTCCAACGGGAACAGTCGTGATTTTGAAAGAATCTTGCAATCCAAAATCCCAGCGGCCTTTGAATCAACAAGAGGATTCAATGGAGGTACGGGCAGGAGGGGTCAGCCCGAGAGTTGCAGGTCCTAAGCATTATCATCGCGTTGACAATGAGTTCCATGACGCGCATGTTGGAATCAATGGCCAGGGGATCCAGCTGTAAGTCTGTTGTTCTCAAGAATATTCGCGCAGAAATGAAGATGATCATTAGCATTGCCAACTGAGGCCTCGCGCTGTTTCTGAGCCTTTACTTTTTCGTTCTTGCAAATCCAGCTGCCAAGGCTGGGCCATAGTCCCATTGCCCTGTTGTGTTTCGCTACTACCTTGTTGCTCTGTGTGTGGAGCAACAATGTCCTATGCACAGGCGCCGCAGCTGTTCGCGTCTGCTACTCAAGAGCTAAGAGATAACTTGGCCCTGGAAGGGTGCACATAGCAAGGCTGTCTCTTAGTATCTGAATCCTTGTGTGTAGTTTGGGTTGCTTGCCGGTTTGAGCTTGTCCAGGGAGGGAGGTCCCGGGTACTGTGCAGGAACCTTAAAAGGAAAGCCGTATCCCATGTGGTACAAAGTTGAAGCGCTGAGTAATTGCGCGGTCATAGCTGAGGATGAATCACACAAGATCCCTCCCCGGCCCTGCTCTTAGCGTGGCTTACCGTCCTTGCTCGTTGAGCCTAGAGTCTTCAAAGGGTACCAAGGCCAGATTTAGATGTGTTCATGTCTAGTCCGATACTCACTTATCGTTGCATCCCATGTACGTCTGAACTCTGGTGCCTGAAAGCGCGGCGTGTGATGTGAGTTGAATATTAAGTTACAAGAGGGACGCACATGTAGAAGTTGTGTAAGCCTTATGCAATTACCCCAGATGCAGCTTCCATGGTCTTTACAAGTATACCCTCTCCATACCCCTTTATGGAGACTCCCTACGTTGGTGACTCCCCTCCTATGGTCCTCAAGTAAGGCAGGAGTCCCCGGCGTGCAGAAGGGGATCCGGCTAAGCAACGAGCTCAGCAGACTTTGCGTGCCGCAAAAAGCTGGTAGATGTTCTAGTTGCTGAAGACATAAGTTCTCCACCTGCCGCATGCCCCCTGAACCCTCTCACACCTCAGCGTCCACCCTCACACTTTCGGACCAATCCCCGTCCCATGGCTCTGTGTTTTCAGATGAAGGTGGACGTTCAGGCTTAGTTTTGGGGTGGGCGGCTGCTGGGGCGATGTCCGAGGGGTGGTGTTCGTGAACCTTCTACCCTGTTGTGCACTTCACGCCACGTGCTGTCAGGAAGGGCCCGTCCACTTGCAGCCTTAGTAGGTTTGTGTTATCTCGGCATTTCCTTACTCTCGTGTTGTCTGCTTTCCAACAAGATGAGCTAAGCTAGAGTCATCCCCCACGAGCTGTTTAAAGCATTTTATAGCTTTGAGAGAGCTTTGCTCACGCAACATCGTCTCTGTGCTGCCTTCTAGCTTCTGTGTCCTTCTTTGCAAGCGTACGCCCTTGCTGTCTTACCTGTGTTGGGAGCGTCTATTTTGTACTTCGGCGCTTGGACAAACTTTGGTATGCTTTCGCCCCATGCCTGCAGAGCCACGGATGTTCGGGATGACAAAAAGGCGTCAGACATCCGCCTTGAGACATGTTGAGCATGGCCTGGACTCCTGTATTCGGCCATGGCTCTAGTCGCTCTTTGATGTCGCAGCATGTAGGCAATGGACTTGAGGGTCTTTAAACCAGATGGGGGGGCCAGAAGCTCAATCCGACCACAGAGCTTCATTGGACTTCATGCTTTGAGGCTAGCAGGTGTTAAGGTTAAGGGATGCCGTATTGCATGGTAGAGTATGTGGGTTTCCAAATAAGGTTCCCCTTAGATTCTGGGATGATTTTAGCTTGAAGAGCCCGGCAATGAACCCAGGCAAGATACGATGATGGTGGGCTTGACTCCACAGGAGGCTGGTCTAGTTTGATAGCTTAGTGCATTTGGTGTCCATGCAGTTAGGAGCCTAGTGCAGCTTCATTTTGTCTTTCACCAGGTTGCCTTGGCTGAGGAAGTTCTGGACGCAGCTGGATCTGCGAAAGGGGCAATGTGCGGCATGTTTTGAGATAGACTGGCTTGGCATGCTTCCCCAATTGGGGCAACTTTTCTATCTCAATTCTGTCATGTCAATCGAAGAAGCCACTAAGTCGCAGATCTGGTCTGTTGGATAGGTTTTGACAAGATTCCGTGGTCCTCTGAGTGCTGGCTTCTATGATATGACGCATGTTTGTCTCTCCTGCAACAATCTGCCAGAGACCGTCGGATCCTTCCTACTACTCAGTGTCTACCAAAGGTTTCACTGCCGCTACTGCCGCTACTGCCGCAGCCGCCGCCGCCGCTGTCGCCGCCGCCGCGCCGCCGCCGCCGCCGC